TCTATTTTGTCAACAATGAGGACAACTGACTTTGATGAAGCCCAATTACACTGGCATTCATAATGACCTTAAACAGTAAATCTTAAAGCATGATTTAGGTCCATGGACTAGTGATGTTCCTAGCATTTCAACCCCAACACAAAATAACCATATAGGAAGCTTTACATGTATTACTTAGAACCAGTCAATCACTAAGTACATCCGGCCCTTGAGCCCAGATCATAGATCATCTTAATAGCCTCCCCTATGCACTGGATCATGGTAACTCGTCTCAGAATTCTCAGGAGTAAGAGGCATATCTCTTGGGCTCGGTGTCGAGGGTTCTCTCCTTTCAGGCTGGAACGAATCCCTTCTATCCATAGGCATTGGCTCCCTATTTCTTAAAGGAGGTCCTGCCCTTTGGTAAGGTTCTTGCATTGTTTCCCTGCGCCTATCATATCTTGGCCTTGGCCTATTTCTAGTTGGCTGCCTCTCGCTGTAACGATATTGAGGCCTGTGAATGACCTTACCATCTACAAATAAATCCCCTGGAGAAATTCAAAGAAAGAAAAGGGGGGAAAGGATAACCATTTAGTACACTGGCATAAAAGCTTAATCACAAGTGAATTTAGAAATGAATTTATTAGAGAGAAAACTAACCTCCATAGATAACCATTTAGTACACTGGCATAAAAGCTTAATCACAAGTGAATTTAGAAATGAATTTATTAGAGAGAAAACTAACCTCCATAATCCTTATTTGGCACATCAAGATAGGAATCAGGCAGAACCCATAGAACACCAGGTAGTCCTGATAAAGAAAATTTATGTAAAACTTTGAACAAAATAATATAAGAATTCTATCAAACCACTCAATTTCTCAGATACGACGTAAATGCTTAGAAACACAGGAAGCATCAAAGGGAGAAGTAAACCACCTTAGGAAACATCGAATGTAGAAACAATGACATATTTCATTTATAGTTTATTATTTTTAAATCGCCATAGTTTCTCAACCATTTCTTACCGTAATCATGAAAACAGAAAATGCAGACTCACTGTTTCCATATATGTGGAGGTTTTGGGGGTCGGTTTGAACGCTCTATGTGAAAAACAATCTATTCTGAAACATGATGAAGTCCATATCTAAACGGCAGAGAAGTACCTTAAAAAGTTAGAAAATAACTCATTAGTCAAACCTTTAACTTTGTAGGAGAGCTCCTCAGAGATCAGCGCGCCGAAGCCCGTGTATGTGGTCGTACAAACAGAGTATATCTTCTTCTTTGCTTCCTCCTCACTAACGAATTAAGTAAAAGAGCAAATTAAGCTAAAAAACAATACGAGAGAGAGAGAGAGAGAGAGAGAGAGAAAGAGAGACTCCCCCAAAAACCCAATTTAAATTAGAAGCAATCATGTGTGAGAGTGTGAGAGAGAAAGAGAGGGAAAAAGTTAACTTGGATTACAGATAGAGAACCAAAAACCCAATTTGCATTAGAGGAGAGAGAGAGTACCAAAAACTCAGTTTGCATTAGAGAGAGAGTACCAAAAACTCAGTTTGCATGAGAGAGAGAGTACCAAAAATCCAATTTGCATTAGAGGAGAGAGTACCAAAAACTCAGTTTGCATGAGAGAGAGAGTACCAAAAATCCAATTTGCATTAGAGGAGAGAGAGTATCAAAAACCCAGTTTGCATTAGAGGAGAGAGAGTACCAAAAACCCAATTTGCATTAGAGGAGAGAGAGAACAAAAACACAAGTTTCAATAGAGAGAGTATCACCTTCCAACTACAGCAGCAAGAGTTTTAACATAAGCAGCGATCATTTCATCCTCAGATGGTTTAGGGTCCTCAGGAAACTCCATAACAATGAGCCAGTGCTCATAGTCACAACCATCCAACATAATGGTCTCTTTAGGGGGCCTGTTACTCCAGTTGGGTGATGGATCATTAAGAGGAGAATAACCAGAACCCGAGGAGCTCAACCTCATGGGGATTCTCCACAACGAGAAAGGAAGAACTGTGGAAGAGGAGCGAAGAGTAAAATGAAGGCCATGGGAGAGAGAGGAGCGTGAGGACGAAGAGACAGAAAGGGTCATTGAGTGGGAGAAGGACCGGGAGATTATGGAGCCCAAGCATCGCCTGGCACTAGAAGCCATGAGAGAGAGATAGAGATGGTGACGGGTTCTAATGGGGGAGAGAGAGTTCGGCGATAGGGGGCTGAATGAGGGTTGGCGCGGCTGAAGGAAGCGAGAGAGAGGGGTTTAGGCGGGGGTTTTCTGGTGGCGGAACGAGACCAGTTTTAGAGAGAGAGAGGAAGATGGGGGCAATGGGCACGTCCGGTTTCGGTCGATAGAGCCGGACCCATCTCGAGTCGGAAATTTCAACCCGGACTCCACCTGATTCCAATTTGACTTCTCGTGCTGATCAACTACATTTTTTTACATCATCAAAACATCCTTTGTCAAAGGATTCTAGGCTCTAAACAACCATCTACTTTCAAATATCATCAAAACATCCTTTGTCAAAGGATTCTAGGCTCTAAACAACCATCTACTTTCAAATAGTATCGACAAATGTAGTTTTAATATTGAAAATCTTGGTGATAGTTTTAAAATATATTTTTATATTTATTTTAAAGTTTAAAGTTTTAAAAATAGTGTAGATCGACATATCTATGAAAACTTATAAATCTAAAAAATTGACCGTCCATAAATGTGTTACAAAATACATTATTTACAAGACTTGAAATTCATTTTTTTTCGTGACTATGCATCTTGAGTCGAGATGGTCGATTTGAATATATTTGAACATCAAAACAACCACTTCTAGTGAAATTTTTGGGTAGGCTCAAATTTATTTGTTTAGAGCCTCGGCTCTATATAAACTTTTTTTAAATGCACTTTATTTCTACATTTTTAAGGTGTCAACTTTATAAAAAATTTTGGCTAAATTAATTTTTGAAAAAATTTCACCATTCACCCTAATTTGGTGTACTTTGAAAATTGGAACATTTATGATGACATTAACTTTGTCACTTTCCTACCTTTTAACCCCTCAACAGTTTTTACCCGCCCTAAACAAATTCTACAAGGATGTGTATGCCCATCCCCCTCGTGCCCAATCTACCCTAAACCCATCCTCTCTCTTCCTCCCCCCCTCTGCACCATACTCCTCTATCTCTCTCTCTACCCCACACACCTTCTCGGCCCCCAGTTTGAATTCTATGCCATACCTCTTTGCTACCCCAACCCCCCTTTTCTCTCTCTCGCCTCTCCCCCCAATTTGAGTTCTGCATCATACCCCTCTCTCTCTCTCTACCCATTATCTCTCTCTCTCGATATTTAATTGTTAGATGGATAGACATTGCTCTTCTAATCTCTCTCTCTAGACACAAATGTGGTGCCTATATCTTATAAAGAATAGTGACAACCATCTTCTTCGACATCACCCTTTGAAATGCTTTCATGTACAAGTAGTATTTTCTCTCTCTAAAATGAATTTAGCTAAAAGTACAGTCTCTCTCTTTAAGAGTAATTTAGCTCTCTGATTGTGAGAAAGGAGAATAGACGTAGGTGATGTGCCATATCAGGGCCTTCAAACTTTGACATGTGCTCAATTAAATCGCTGAAAGTGATGAGCTCATCTGGTTGCAACATATTTTACTAAGATGTATCCTCACTTTCTCTCTCTAGATTCCCTATTGATTATAAACATCCCAAACCCCACTTCCACTATTCACTATTGGTTGAGGCCTTGAAATAATAGTGGAGGTCGAGCCTAGACGCCTGAACCCAATAATAGTGGATGATTTCTCTCTATAATGAATAGGTTTGGGGTTCAAAACCAAGTTGCTCAATAAAAACCGGATTTGTTTAGGGCTCAAACCAAGTTGCTCAATAAAAACCGGATTCGTTTAGGGCAGAGCTCAAATTGAGGAGGAGAGAGAGAGAAATAAGTGGAGGTATGGCCTAAAGCTCAAATTGGGGAGAGACGAGAGAGGGGATGGATCTGGGGTAGAGAGATGGATGTGTCTGTCATTATAAGATTTGTTTAGGACAAACAAGTTCAAAATGATCTGGTTTAGAAAGGTATATAGATGAAAACTGGGTATTAAATTAGTTCTTATTTAGAAAACTTAGACGCAAAAATTGGAAAAAACGAGGGTACTGAAAATTAGGTATGAATATATTATTTTGGATTTGGTCTAAAAGAGTGAAAATATCAGAAAGGTATAGATGATATAAAATAAAGCTATAATTGATGCGATTGTGCAATGTAATGATTTTTTTAAGAGGATAACAAGAGAGTTATTGAACAATAATTTTAGGCCTTTCCTTGGTTGCATTGGGGTCCTATTTGACAAACTATTTTGTTTTTCAAATTTGTATTATACTCACCAATATGGTATGTTGAGTCATGAAGCAAAACATACAATCATTTTATGAGGAGTATACAATGAATTAACAACACTAAACACAACAATTACATCGAAAAATAGCAAGAACTACAATCCGAGGTATAGGATTGTTGAAAAAAAAAAAACAGTATTGAATTGCAATTTACAAAAATCAAATACGAAACAAAGTCTATCCACATTGTTGTGTTTTGCACACCAATGAATAAACAAAAAACTTAAATGTAATTAAACTTATTTATACAAGGAGAAAGTTCTGTATAGATTTCTTATACCATGTAATTTGTATAAACAAACATAAATATTTGAACCTTAATCTCCGGCTACCTAAATTTTTCAGTTGTCACTAAATCAGTCAAATGGCGCTCTTGATTTAAATAAATAAATAAAATATTTTTTAATAGTGGCTCGTCCTTTTCTCCTCCTTTTTTGGTGTCGATTTAGTTCCACTTTTGGTAAGCTTATCTCAAATCTAAAATTTAAAATTTTCAAATAAATAAAGCTAAGAGAAGGTTTTTAATATTCAATTTCTTAGAAAGTCTTTCTGAAAAAGATGAAATAAGCGTTTATGTCTGTACCATGAGAAATGCAATTTCAAGAACTTTTAAATACACGGATGTGAGCTTGAAGTGCAAGAGTGTGGCTCAAGTGCCATTTGCACACAAATCACATGCTCTGCCCAGGTCTTCTTTCCCTTATTTCTATGACTACAGAGGAATAAAGTGTCTACATAAACTTAACTCTCTCTTAATTTTTCAATGTAGGACTAAAATCCACTACTCTACAATAAAAATTGCTTTTCCAAGGCTACAATCTTCAAGATATTATTTTGAAATAAAACATCATATTTTTCTAAAGCAAAACTACTTTTAAAAAAAAACAAAGAGCAGTTGCATGAATCATTTTTCAAAGTTTGGTTAACATCAATAAAATCGAATGGTATCCTTACCCTATTGTCCACCAAGAAAGTTAACTTTGTTGAGTGAAAACGTTACTCAATTCTGAATACTTATTTACCTATGGTTCATACTGAACATGGGAAAACTTAGAAGATTCTTCTCCCTAAAAATGACAGTAAGGGCTTGGAGCTACAAACACATACTAGGCACATGCATAGCATGAGAGGGGAATGAATGCATGCCTCATGTAAATGTTCATATCGCCTCTAAAGTCCATAATGAATGATGGATTTTGGATCCAAATTTTTAAGTGATTCATAATCTAGGACATAGTGATCTTGAATATTAAAAATAAATAAATAAACTTGCAAAATTTGGAAGTATTTTGCCTATTTGGGTGCCTGTTTCTTAACATCCATCTTTAAGATGAACACTCGCTCACAAAACACTTTTCTGTTTTAAAATAACTCAGAATAGCTTTTATACAACCTCAGTAATGAAACAAAAGACTCGGGCCTCATACCAGCAGAAAAGGAGGAGAAAAAGAGAAAAGGAACACCAATCAATAACTCAACTCCTAAATTGATAATATAGAAGGTTTTTCCGCGCCAAGTTTTCTGAACCTAGATTTCTACCATGATAAGAGTGTGAAACAATGTTATATACTATGAAATGAGATTTAATTCTCATGTACTATGAAATGAGATTTATTTCTCATGTACAAACTACAAGGTATATGGGGGTGCTCAAGAGAAGGTGACCCCTCCACAAATACTATGTACACGTGAACTCATAATGCAAAAATATAAAGAGCATGTACAACAGAACAAACCTTGTGATAAATTCTAACCATTAAGCTCCAGTTACATAGATTCGCTGCGGTGTTGATGTCTAGAATTAATTTTTGCGAGCTGGATTAGCACTCATTGCCCGTTTCAGAAGCGACTTGTACTCCTGGCTTCTCGACCATTGATCTATTTCACGAGCACGTAAGACTGGCAAGGGGTGGGATAACTGTCTTGTCTGAGCATTCCTGGAATTTAAGAAAAACAAAACCAAATAATCATGCTGACATTTTTCAATAGACTTTTCATAAAACAGCCATATCTCAGGTAATGTTTCAGAAACTTGGCTTTGAAATTTGTTCACTTTTTGTTCACAAAGAAGGAGAGCATGTTTACAAGATAGGATCTCAACCAAAATCGAGCTTAAATCTGAAAACTGGAACTCCAACCACAACAACAATCAAATTAAAGGTTCGGTTAACAGGTGCAATATCTCACCTTATATACCAGCCAATTGGACTTGAGGAAGCCTCATCATAAGAGCGAGCTTGCTCAAGAAATGCATCCACGTTCAGTTGATCTGCCAAGGATGGGCAGCCTCCCGCAAGTTTCATCAGAACAGAGATGACCACCTCTTGATAGAACACGACATAGATACAATAAAAATTAGAGAATGACAGCCAAGGATATTCAAAAAGAAGCAACAAGATTTATCACCATTTCAAAAGAAATTGTTTTTCTTTTCTGTTTATTCCCCTTTTCCAAAAGTTGAAAGGTTTGCTTTGAAAGTGTTAACATTCATGGCAGCCGTCCCAATATTTGGCTTGAATAATATGCCCATTGAAACCCTGAAATAATTGAATAACCCTTCAGAATATGAACCCACCCTCCAAATAAGATGGGGCAGAAATAGCCACATGAAATGGCCAGAATGTCTTATCTCTTCAATGCACAGATAACCCAGAATGAGAAAAAAAGGAGGGGGGGGGAAGAACCTCTTCAATGCTGGTGAGACATCAAAAAAAAAAAACCAGGGAACCTCTTCAATGCTGGTAAGACATCATTCTCAATGTCAGTCACTGGATTCTATCATAAGATGGAAAAAAACCCCACAACATATGTTGGGAGCAGTATGATTTTTGCCAAAATAACCAACAATCCAACTTCCTGATTCCTGAACTTGTACAAGGAAGGAAAACCTCTCTTCTCTCTAACCAAATGAAAAAAGAGAAAATAAAAGAACGACTGTGAAACACCCCCTCTGATTCATAAAAAAATCACAGAAACCTTAATTTAATATTAAAAAGTTCTGGAATATTTTGGAAAACTAGACATCACATGCAATTTCTTGAAGAGCAATGATGTGCATTTGAGTTCATTCTTATATATGGCATTTTTTATAAATATAAAAAGAAAAATTTGTTTTGCATGAATCCTTAAAAACTTATAGGATAGTGCCTTCATCATAGGAACCTTATGTTGCACCACTGTGATATAGATATCAATGGTGACCCCCAGCCCTTCCAGGAATTCTGTCCCAAGCCATTTGTCAAGGATTCACATATCACATTTCCAAACAAGTTGTCTTTTAGCAGGTTTTATTCCTTTTAAAACAACTCCATTCCTACACATTATCATTAATTTATGAAAATAAGACATCTTCAATGCTCTTTTAGTTGTTTCATTTACTTCTCAAACCTGTAGGACAAGTTGCATCCCAGCCCGAAATATCCACATTAAAAAACCTACCATAACTTTTTGGATAAAGGACCCAAAAACCCCAATAATCCCAATAGAGCACCAAAACATCACATCTTTCTTAACATTAACAAATGGGATGTCCAACATCTCTTTCTACTGGGGGGGTCAAAAGTGCAGTTGACAATGAAAAGCTGCCCCTAATGTCATATGAACATGGTTCTTTTTAGCAAACAACTCCCTCACATGTGGACACACGGGCATACCAATTTTCTAATTAGTAATATTTATAGATTAAATGCTACATCCACTCCTTTATATATTAACCACGGATCACACAATAATAATAATTTTGAACAAGCCAAAATTTAAGATAACTTATTTTGTACAGCCAGTTCAATGAAAAGACCCACAAAATACTAAAAACATTAATAACCTACTTTTATCCTTATTGAATGTGAATGTACATATTTTCTGAATAAGAAACTTCTGCGAGAAGACATTTGACCAGCCAAGACAATAGTCCCCATCAATCTGTGCACTCACATGCATAATGAAATCAATCTATGGTTTGAAGGTAATATTTTGGACCAAGCATGCACGTACTGACATTCCATGAATCACCACTAACATAGCTTGTTCCTGGTAGAGCAGCATCGTTTACAAACTTACCCATGGGTTTTGTTGAGCCCACCCCACTGAGTTGACATGGGAATAGCCTTAGTCAAACCTTCAAAGTATATGGGGCAATGACTAAGTAAATATGATATAAACTATTGGGATAATGATCTGAAGATGATGATGATACTATTGGGAAAATATATTACGACCCATGTAATTTGGGGAATACTATGGCCATAGGGGTCATCATCATCGCACTACTGGCTTGAACAGTGACCGTAGAGTGTCCCACCAAACATGTCATTAATTCAAAGTGCACAAACCCCCAATTATTATCTAAATAGGGTCCGTATCTAAAGAGAAACGTGGCTGCACACATACATCAAAAATGCCTAAATACCTAGTAAAATAAAGATTACTGGACAAGCCAATAGATCCCCACGATAAGATTTAAACTTCCAGTATATTTGGCTCAAAGAAAGGCAGTTTCAAAATTCTTCAGAGTCGATTGAGAATTATTTGGGAATTATTAGGGATTGTTATTCTTAGATTTTTTTTAGGATGGAAAATTACAACCAGATTGCAAATACAAATAAACATTTCATGCGTGTATGTTATTTCCTAAGGATACTTATCCAAATGGAAGGGCAAAATTCAACAATCTTTTCCATTCACTGAAATTAACGTTTGATAGTTAATCCTATGGGGAGCTCATGTCAGAGGGTGGTGCAGTACTCTACACTACAGTCACGCATTATGAAAATGGGCTAGAAAGGTGAGTACATCTGCATTTAACATTAGAGGCAGCTTTAACTCCGTCAAAACCACCTTATTGAACCATAGAATGAAAGTATATACTTGCTTGAAGTATTTTAGGAGAATGGATTACTTTTGTTCAAGGAAACTTTTGTGCTTTGGTCTTTTCAAATAAAATTCTAAGAATGGGCTTTCAAAGTTGGGTACCTTTGGATTTTGGGTAACAAGGAGAGCAGCTCTATCACAAGTAAGCTCGGCAGCTCTAACCCATCGAAACAACTGTTCCTCCATACTCCGAGCAATCAATACACCTAAACCTGAATCAGGCATCATTAGCCCCAGAATATTGTCAAATTCAATTCTATTCAAGGCAATCAGAAAAATGGAATCCAGCTCCATATCCAAGTTTTTCTTAAGAACTTACAAACGTACCAGGCAGAGAATTGGCACCCAATGTCAAAATGTTGGCAAATGTAAGCCACACACCATGATCACATTTTAAATGACCTAGCTCGTGGGCCAGAACAGCCTGTATGTTATAATTCAAATTATATCTCAAGAAATATTGTTGGGTAAGGGACAAATTGTTGGGTAAGGGACAAAAATGTCAAGCATTGGAAAAACCATTAAACTTCACTCGACATCAAAGAGCAAAAACTGAACTTGTAATTTTTTAATTGGAAAGGACTATAGGCTAATAAAATTAACTTAAAATAAATCTATGCGTAAAATGCCAAGCCACTAAAAGGTTACACGTTTCTGTTTTCCCTAGTAACTGTAACATTGCTGCTTGCAGCGATTGGGACTCCAAATTTAGAAACAGAAGAACACAAAATGTAATTAGGATCACAACCACCCAATTTATCAATAAGCATGTCACTCATACAACAGAGCAAGGTGCCAAGGTGGTACTCAACACCTTGTTAAGAACATAAACTCCTATTCAAAGATCTCAAAAGAATGTTCCTTATTTGAATATTTGTTACTCAAAACAAATACAATTTAATTAGAGCACACTTCATTAATTTACTTTGTTCCTTTAGCTATGATGTATGTCCTAAAAGCATCATGTAAGTTGCCAGAACTGCACTCTCTTACGCGTTCTACAAAAAGTTTCTGAACTAAAGCAATTAAATTTTTTCCTCTACATTCCATCTGATTGTTTGCCCCAAATGGGTAACAAATTCAGCCTGAACCATACAAATGCTAAAAAGGGCTTTTGTATTTAATCAATAGTTATGGGAAGAGTTCGAGGAGCTTAAATTACCTGTTTCATTTACATCAAACTGTATGCAGGCTTGTAAACCCTTGATTTGGGTCTCAAACTTATACGAACTTTTAGAGAGACAAATGATACAAAAAGAACAAATGCTCCTATACCTGTGTATGATGCAAGCATGCTGGCCCAATCTCACTCTCTTGGGTCTAGACTTCAAATCGAGTCTGGCAGCTCTGGCTACAAGATCTTCTCGCCCTACGTATGCCATTGACATCCCTGGAGTTTCAAAGTGTATGTAAGCACTCTTAGCTCCACAGGCAGTCAAAGTATCTTGAAAAATCTCACGCACAAGTTCTCACTCCAGCCTCTCAATTCAGTTCTCAGGTTCAGTCCTCCTGCTCTTCCATAAATGTGCATTTATATAAAGGTTTTTTGATGATAAGACGAATAGGTGAGATATTTGTCCAAACCAGTCGGTTAGGGTCCTCCTCTCTCACTACACTGGTCATAGGAGACGTATCAAGCACATTAGGATTGAAACAACCCAACTGAATAGGATTCACCCCGAGAATAATCTCAGGTCAGTTATTTTCTGCCTGCAGCAGCGGCCAAGCCTAGAGGCGAGAATCCTCTATTTTGTGGGCAATGTCGCTTTCAGATGTTAGTGTCTTTTGATCTGAATTTTTGTGTGTAGAGGACTCGAAGTGGAATCCTTTCACTCAAACATCAGGTCAAATGATCAGAAAGATATTCCTCATCAAAGTTGACCTCTCACTACTCCTAGCTTTCTGCTGTATGTCGACTATCACAGCTTTGATTGACCAGAATCCAGGGTATGATAAACCCTAGAATGAAGACTATCTCACAGAGGATCACATGAGGAATCCTTCAGCAAACTTTCAAGCGAAAACTCCTTATAGCACCAGAGATCTCGTCACTTCACTCATCACCAGCAGCCAGACTGCTATGTGGTAGGAGCGCTTTCCTCTGTCAAATTCATGAGGAACAACCTTCTCATTGTTAATAGGGAGTTAAATGAGGAATCCTCCCTCCATATTTCATATGAAAACTCCTTATAAATTAGGAGAAATCTCAATTTGATTGATCAAAGGTCTCCTTATGTGATGAATACGTGCATGGCAGCCAGTGGGTATGAGCCTCTGGACACCTTTGAGAGTAGGAAAAGAACAAATCATCTCCAAAGATCTATGATTTTGGAAGAAAGCTTGTCATGCCTTAGATTAAATCCCCAGCAAGTTTCATGCCAATCTGAAGTGTTTGAAGGGGGACCGGCTGCTAAGCTATCATCTAGTGAATGGTGACTCTGAATGCATAAAGTGACATCCAAATGTTTTGAAATTTGGATGGTAGGCTTATAATGGCTCAAGAGGGTAATCCGCAAAGTTTCACTCTATTCCAGTAGCAAATTAGTAGGATCCTTGTGGCGCACAGTGACTCATGGAGAGGCATCACATCTCATCTAAATTTATTCAAATTCTGCCAATGGGTTTATGCTGCCGTATGACTGAGATATCCAAGATTTGATCTTATTTTGAGGTCATGTAATATGGTTGGCAAGTGACTGGCCATTAGGGCGTATCTGACGAACGATCTCCAGGCTTGCGTACTATACCCAACCTGTCATGATGATGTAAATATTATTCCAATTTAAATATCCAATAAATGGCCAATTGCACTTTTTTTATGATCTTTCTTATTGTTCCTTAGAAAAGCCCATAGAAATCATTGGTCATGGTTTCTATCAATTAATGCACAAGGTTCAAACCTTGCCTTACCAAAATTTTCACAAGGCTGCCTCTAAGCAGTGCCCGTGTAACTTATAGCTCAATACCTACCCATTGCCTGAATTTCATAGTTACCTCTTGTAGTTAAGCTTCTCTTAATGATAATTTATACGTCATTCAACAGAAATCAAGAGGTAATGAAGTTGCAATTCCACGAAAAGAAGAATTGATGTATTGGTGAATTAGTAGAAACTTGAAATATGGAATATTGATGGGAACATGCCACAAATGAAAATAATGGCCTTACAATTAAATTAAATGCTGACCTATGATACCCATGCTCAGCGTAGCTGTCTCAACAAGATATGAAACTACTACCAGCACAGAATACTCTTAAGCTAGTAGCAAATATGGACCGGTATATGTATTCCTTGAAAGTAGGGACATCTCCCCTAATAAGGAAGAGAACAGCCTTTGGGCTTAACTACCACTAAATATGTATAAATATATATTACATAAATATGAAAATATAATATAAACAATCTTTTAAATTATGCATGATGATATTATACATTTAACGTTACAACAACAAAAGTTAAATACATAACCATCATCGTCTCCGAGGCTTATCGCAACTAATTGGGGTGAGATCTGATACAGTGCATCACTTATAGGGTACGCTCTAGCATGGGTATACAACATAGGTTCACGATTCACCACAAACAGTGGCAAAGTTTTACGATAGTTGACTAACCTAACCCTCCTCCCTTATCTGGGCTTGGGACTGGCATGACCGGCTTAGGACCGGCCATAGTGGAGTTAGTTAAATACATAATATGATATTTTTAAAATAGAATATTAATAATATATTAATATATACATTGATATTCATTGAAGAAACAAGCCAAAAAATACAAAATTGGTCCAACAAAGGAACGTTATGACCTACGGCTAGTTCAGATACATCATTCAACATTCTTCTCATCAAAAAACCTACAAACTTTTTCATGTTGAATTTAGATATCTTAATGTTTTATTTGTTATGTACATGGTTTTGTTTGATTGCATAGGAAGAGAGAGGCAACAAGAGATATCCCTCCCCCCCCCCCCAAAGAGAAAAAACGCACTAAATCCAAGTTCCCCATTTCTATCTTATCTCCCTCTAAGAGAGACTTAGATGAGAGAGAGAGAGAGAGAGATTATGATTGTAGTGACTCTTAAGGGCCCCACGCCCATCAAAGAAACCTGCATGGGCCTCATGCCCATCATGGAAACCTACATGTGGTAACGATATGTATAATCATCATCATCAGAGCCTCAACCCAACTATTCGTAGTCGGCTACACAAATCATGTTTCGTCATTCCGCTCTATCAAAGGCCACACCCTCAATTAGACCATAGAAGGCAATCTGTTCTCAATACTTCCATCCATATTCTTTTAAGCATCCCCCTTATCCCTTTAGAACCTTCCACTTGAACCAAATCACCCTCCTAACCGGTGTTGTTCTAGGTTGACACTACACATAACCTGATCACCAAAGTCTACTTTCCCTCATCTTATTGCCTATTGGAGCCACCCCTAAGTTTCCTCTGATATATTTATTCCGAATGCTATCTTTTCTTGTCTTATCTCTTGTCTTATCACTCATCCATCTCAACATCCTCATCTCAACTATACTCATTCTATGCATATGTTGTTTCTTGACCCCCCCAATATTCCATCCCATAAAGCATGACTGACAGCCATCCTGTAGAACTTCACCTTCAGTTTCACTGGTATGCGATGATCAAATAAAGACTCCGGAAGCACATCTTCATGTAGTCTACCTAACTCTAATTCTATGTGTGATGTCAGCCTCAATCTCTCTATTCTCACTGATTATCGACCCAAGATATCTAAAATAATCACTTTTTGGCCATCAATCTTAACAAATTCGTCGTTTCTACTCCTATTATTACTAAACTTATATTTTATATATCCTATCTTAGATCGACTAATTTTAATATCTTTATAATAATCACATATCTAATAATCCAGCCAAGAAACATGTGGAATCTACTGAGAAAAATTGAATGTGAACACCTGAAAAAAGAACAAGGGAAAATATGATATAAATGATCAACCCCAACTCGTTGACTCATCAGGTACTTCTTTTAGTTCTACCCCAATAAATTCTCAATTCAATTTATGTATTGTTGCAAGAAAAGAAAAAAAGATACTTCCCACCCGATCAGCAAGTTTGTTTCTTATGCTTCACTTTTAACTTCCTTTCATTCATATCTTTGATCTACTTCCTCTATTATTACTCCAACCAAAGTTGCAAATGCATTGGTTCATCCAAAATAGAAAACAACCATGAATGAGGAAATGATTGCCTTAGAGAAGCAGGGAACTTGGGATGTGATGGCCAAAAGAACAACATGTCGTAGGAAGTAAGCGGGTGCATACCCTGAAGCATAAACTAGATGGTTCGATTGAGAGATGCAAAGCTTATTTGGTTTATATCAGGTAGATTGTAAGGAGCTTTTGCTCTTGTAGCAAAATTGAAATCAGTAGGGGTACTTTTATCTATTGTAGTAAACAAGAAATGGCCACTCCACCAATTAGATGTGAATTTAAATGTAAAGAATGTGTATCTTAATAGCAACCTGCAAGAGGAACTGTTTATGGCAACTGGGGTTTTATTCTCAAGGGGAGAAAGGGAAGGTCTGCAAGTTTAGGAAAGCTATCTATGGACTAAAACAACCACCTCAGGTTTGAGTCAAAAAATTTAGTATGGCAATATGTTGGTTAGAATTTCATGAAAGTGTTTCTAATCATTTTATATGCATTAATAGAGATTATTGTTCCACCACAATACTGATAGTGTATGTAGATAATACAATAGTCACAGGAAATAATGATCACGAAATTAAAAAAGTGAAGATTTCTTGGGAATATATTTGACATAAGGATCTTGGAGTATTAAAATACTTCCTTGGAATAGAGATGGCTAAGTCTAAACAAGGATTTTTTCTTGTCTCAAAGCAAACATATTTTGATCTCCTCAATGACACAAGAATGCCTGGAGCCAAACAAGTAAAATCTCATATAGAGGTTAATCACAAACTGTATCATCAGCATGCAGAGCCTCTGAGTAACCTTGGTGTCTATCAGAGATTAGTGAATAGACTTATTTATTTGACTGTCATGCGACCAGACATTGCATATACTATAAGCATGGCAAGTCAGTTTACACATGCACCATGCTCCCATCAACGTTGTTTATCGCGTTTTACGATGTTTAATATCTACTCTAGGGAGAGAGCTACTTTATACCAGTTAGTCAACTTGACGTACAAAGTTTTTGTGATGCAGATTGGTCCAGGTGCTCTCTTTATCGACGATCTACCAGTGGCTACTTTATGACAGCGGGTGGTAATTTAGTCACCTGGAAGAGTAAAAAATAGAGTATTCAACTAAGTATTGAGCAATCACAAGTGCTACATGTGAAATAACTTGGCCCCGTTCTCTTCTTTAAGCGATGGGTGTTAATGCATCATCTAATGTTCCTCTACATTATGATAATCAAGTGGCATTTATATTGCCTCAAATCCGATATTTCATGAAATAACCAAGCATATTGAGGTCGACTATCACTTCATCAAAGAAAAGATCGTTGCAAAGACAATATATACTTCATTTGTTCACTCCGAGAATAAATTGGCAGACATACTTACCAAGGCCTCTAATCGAGTCCGACTAAATGTCACTTTAGGCAAGATGGCATCTATGATATATATGCTCCAGCTTGAGGGGAGCGTATTGACTGTTATGGGCCCCATGCCCATTAAAAAAACTTGCATGGGCCTCATGGCCATTATGGGAAACCTGCATGTGGCGATAATGTATATAATATTCTACTATATATGGACTTTCCTGATGTACAAGTTATCATATTTGGGTGATTTTTCTACTACCATATTTGGGTGATTTCTTGTTATAATAGTTATGCATAATGCATGTGACTCCTATACATGTTGACCTACCCATATTGTAACTCCCATGGGGATCTATGTGTATATATAGGGCACATCACCCTATGATTTGTATATGGTGGAAAAGACATCCATATTTACTTTATGTTGTGCTTGAATATTCCTTTCTCTATCTTCTCTCTCAATATTAACAATAATCAAGTTAATGCATTAGTTTAGTGTTGTTCAAGAGAATTCCAACACCAGATAAACCAGTATTCCATTGATGACAAGGCAAAGGAAGATGGAACCTCCAAGGCCAACACCTCCTAAAGATCTACTAGGGCTCTCGAACTGAGCTTGATGTGTTATTTGTGGGATACAAGAAGTTGTGGAATTAATCAATGAATATGATGGAGCACCATGAACTAGTTGGATGATGTGGTTAGCCTGCAACCAATAGCTATTTAGGGTTTGATCATGTGAACAACCCAATTTCTTGACAAAGATTGCTTCTTTCCCCTAATTCTCCATTCACAACCGTCTTACCCATCAACAAAGAGAGAGAAAGGCCATAATCCTTACCCTGAAGAAAGAAGGGATTGATTGTTGAAATCTAGCTAGAAAGACAAAGAGAGGGCTTTAGAGAGAGAGAGAGAGATAGAGATAGTTGGGAGTCTTGAGAGAGGAAAGGTGGGGAGAGAGAGAGAGAGAGAGAGAGAGAGAGAGAGAGAGAGAGAGTTATGATTGGGGTCTTGAGAGAGGAAGGGTGGGTTAGAGAAGAGTGTGAGGCCCAATGAGTGAAAAGCATTCAACTTGGACTAGAATTTTTAGAATCTGAATTTTGGGGCACATTTGATAGTTTTTACTATGGCTATCCGGAAATATTGCATACTCCAGCATGTTCAAGCCCTTCAAAAAATTTTATTTGCTTGTAAAAAGCTAACAGATTTGGGTACATCCAATTCAAACAGCCACATTATGGAAAACAGTTTCTTATAATTGAATACATATCGCGATTGAATGCCAACTTGCATATAAATTTGCGTACTCTATTATTTCATGAAGCACATAAAGGGTAATATTTCAAAAAAAGAATAATTTTCTGGTCCTTTTTCCGCATATAGTGAGGACTTTGAACATATAAGGGCTGTAACCTGGTGCTGGTCCTGCCTACACAGGGTCCCCGGGAGGGATGAGATGGAAACAGTCCTAACCTTTGGCTTTTTTATGCACAAAGTGGCCACTCTCAGGACTCGAACCCGTGCTCTTGCACTGGCTACCCAATCCTTTTACCATCACACCAAGTGAGGACTTTGAACGTATACAATGTAAAAATAGCATGAACAGGAGAGAAGCAAAGTAAAGCCAATAAGCATTTTGTGGTTACTTGTGCCGAGAAGAAAATGTTGAGCATGACTAAAATGATTCGACAGTTGCACATCAAAAGTAAAAAATAAACCAAAAAGCATACAAAGTAATGTCTCTGAAGGAGCCTATATCTTATTGTAAGGAAAGACCTGCAACTCTCTTCTGGTAAGAAGCTCAACAAGGCTTGTGTGTACAACGATAAAGGGCTTTCTGCCTCCAATAGCTAAAGTGTATGCATTTGGAATGGGATTTTGACGCACATAGAGATCAGGAGCTTCAATGTTTAGAACTTCAGCAGCCTCAGCCATCAAATGATGGAGATCAGGCAGCTGTTAAATCACATTTTTGGTTCAGTATACATTACAAAGTTGTAGCAAGATAATAATGAAATCCCATATATGCTAACAAGTGAGAGAAAGAAAGAGAGAGAATTTTAAAAATCAAAAGAGAAAAATCAGTTCATACTCGGTACAAAATATAGGTTAAATTCAACCAATGCATATTCTGATAAGTATATGGGTTAATTGATCTAAGCATTGATATAATAAATTCCATAAGTATAATGACATGTAGCAATAGAAAACCAATCAACCGAAACATCTTCATTAATAAAATTATTGGACAAAAACAAAAAAGACAGCTGTGGAATATATATCCTGCAAGTGGTAAGAGTTCTTGATTCCAACAGAAATTAATCAATGTAACCACATAACAAGTAAATAATGTCTGCATAAAAAAGAAACACCCAAACACATATATGCATGGCTGATCACAATTTCATAACTAAAGTTTTCTGCTTGTGTGTGTGTATAAAATAGGGATATAATCAATAATGACAATAATACCATCAGATGATAATAAGAACCCGGACAAAGAGGCCATGAAAGGAAGTCTGCATATACATATAAATCATAGCAGTATTGTCACAAAAGGCAGACATATGAGCCATCAGATGAATGGTGAGGTTAAGTACTCAGCAGGGGATGGCATTGGACACAATTTCAAAACTAGAGTTGGGTAAGTATGTTGCTTCTTAGTACTTACATCTCCAAGAAACATGATTAACACTCAAAACCATGCACATGGGACTAGTAGATTGTTAGCCATTAGAATATTCAGCTAAGTCTGCACTAGTGTTGGCTTTCAAAAGTCAAAGACGAAAGCATAGCAAAAAAGAGATCGTGACTTGGGTAGCGCAGTGTAAAATGCAATTTTTTTTTTTTTTTGGAGATACTATCGTGGAAAAATATATTTACATATTCATGTGTTATCTGCATATTCATAGAGCCAAGTAAATTTCAACCAAAACCAAGGAAAAACTCAGACATGGTATAGACAAACATAACTCCCTAAATAATAATACAAACTTGAGATTTCCATCATATATCTTTGTGGAAAGGAAAGAGGAAATGTGGGTATAACCTGATTCGTAGCCACAAGAACTGATGTTCCTATGTTCTCAAGAATCATCACCTGTTCAGAAATTGGTCCTAAATTCATAATATGTTTCCAACAGTTAGCATTCACATCATAGTTGCAACTGAGACTGAAACTTAGCAGCACACTACATTCTGTGTTCATCAATATAAGAACATGAACCAAGCGACAAAACATGAAAAGGTCCACTCATCACAACCATTTCTACTTAGGAGTTGAAATAACTCTTAAGAGGGGATCAATCACATGTAAGACCTGTATGAGCCCAAAGCTTAGGACTTTGGTCCTCACACCAACACAAGTTACTAGAGAACCATGCTCAGCAGAGTTTGAGACTGAATTAGGAGCATTTCTAAAAAGCCTAAACCAAGAGAAATGTTGGGGTTTTCTTTATTCGCATATGTGGAGAATTGGAGAAGGGTGTGAAATATAAAAAAATTTCCTCTGGTAAACATTCACAAAACCACAGGCAAACTATAGGGATCAAAGTTTATAGTCCTAGTGTCTCACTCTGATATGAGTTATTATTATGTAGGATGTGTGTGTAAAGACAAATGCATGCACCAAAAAAAATGAATATTATACATTCCTACAATTCAACAACATATTAACAATATTATCTCATGAATGTTCTAGGTCCCCAGATTAAACTACAAAATATGAATGCCTTAAGAGATCCTGGTACATGAATTTGTTCACCAATATCATGGATAACTTTCGGCAGGACATATCCAATAACAACACATATTTTTTGCCCAAAAAAATACACATGTACAATCCTATATGTTCTCATAAAAATTGGCATTCATGTATCTAGAAAATGCCAGCAGACTTCACCATAGCCCCAGATCATAACAAGGAAAATACATCCATTTAATGAAAAATTGTTGTAGTTAGATTGACAACTTCACTCATCTCTCAAAAGTGACACATATATGACAATGAAATAGATAGCTTCAAAATATATCAATGGATCTTGCAAAGGTGAAACTCCAAGTCATATGGCTCCCAGTAAAAACTAATAGAAAGATAACCTTTTACTTCACATGGAAAACACAATGCAAATTTTACATCTAGATCAAGAGAAGGGAAAAAACAATCCAATTGATGCAACCTAAAATCTTGGAACGAAATTATCTAGCAAAAATAGGCTCTGGATAAAATTATCTAACAAAAGAACAAAAATAGAGCAAACAACTACCGCAACTAAGATTGATGATAATTCAATCTTGATGATGATAATTACTTGTTAGGGAAAAAAAATGATGATAATTAACAAGGAATGACTTATGCAAAGGAAGCACACAAAAACCCTAGGTCTGATATGATTGCTCTAGGAACCATATTACAATATTAAACAACCTAGCATACCAGCAGGCATCTTCCCTAGTTTAACCTCCAAATCAAACTCATTGAAACACTTCGCATCAACACACTCATAGTTACATAATGTTGGAAGGTAGTAGGGAACCAACCATTTGGTATTTCACAAAAGCATAACACATAAATGTGATTCAAATACCCAAAAAATAAACACTTCAATTCTCAGACATAAGAATATGTCACCATATTAAAAATTAATTAATAAGAGACATCTCATCATTATAAACAAGTTAAAGACAACTACAATAAACTCAACTAGTAAACAGTTTACCTAATAAAGCTTTGCCTAGCTCATTTAGACCTGGAATAGCCCGCAATAGCGAAGTATTCTGAAAGAAAGTTCGTACATATTAATTAATGTGTTATGTGACAGTGCAAACAAAACTAATCAAATCACTAGGAAGATTGGTGAAAAAAAGATAAGTCATCAACAAATGCTGCAATTGAAGAAAAGAACATCTAACAATTACTTTACACATACAATCAATTCCCCTTAGAATGATTGACATCATACAAATCACTATCAAAAACTAATACATATAAAAGATTTCCCCGCATAATTGCTAGTGCCACCTAGCAGTCAAGAACTCAAAATATTTTATCTGTTGTCCATTGCCTTTCATAAACTTACCGCAATGCTTATACTCAATAAAGAGATCAAGAAAAGGGTTGACTTTTTTGTAATTGTTGCAGCAACCATCAATCCAGAAACATTAAGTTGTAATTAAATGGGATACTCACACAAATGGTTATATCAATGATAGACTGACCACTTAACTAGTAACGTACATACGTTTTCAGAAGTAGCATTTCTGATACATAGTTTATTGCCGGATGCTACAATAGCATCTGCATGTATTTATTACTAACACACTATGCGTTATGATTTTGCTAACAAGATTCAAAAGGAAAGTGATCAACACAATAGATTACGAAGTTAACTATAAGTAGGCCATGAGTTGAGGAACATTGATACAGATCCAGATCTGGTTGATTCAGAATCTTAATTTTATATTTAGGGATGTGGGTTTACTTGTTATATGTTATTAGGGTTACATTTTGTTTTTTGGAACAGTTGTCTTTTGTGTTTTTAGGGTATCTTCTTTTTTTATTTTTTTATACAGCTAGAAAATCTTTGGTATTGAAGAGTTTACCGTTTTTTTTTCAATATGAGTTTACCCTTTTTTGTGTTTTTTAGCAAATCTTCAGCTATCTTTAGAAAGTTAAGAAAGATAGGATGAGATTAATGTAAATAGGAGTTCATCTATTTTTAGGATGAGATTAAAGTGAATAATTTTTTTTTTTTTTTACGATTTGTTTCCTTATCTTTGGATAAAGGAAATGAGATAAGCAATCTTTAAGAAAAGGATGGAAAGGTGGTAATAGAGGGTGGGACATCAATGTCAAAAGGAATTGTTTTGGTGAACGAAAAAATAATAGTGTGATGTGCACACACACACACAAAGAGCTTCTCTTAATTATCTCTTGGTTGTGGTGCGTGGTGGAGGCCATGGATCCCCACGTTTGTGCCCTTTTCTTGTTGATTTCTTTGTCTAGAAATGCGGTAGTACTGCTGCTTGTTGGCTGCTGGCTGCCGGTAATTTTCAGCTTCGTTAGTTGGTATCAAAGCACTGTTCTCGTGGGATCATGGTGTTGCTCGAAAGGGCGCCATGGTTGGCGGACATGGTACCGAGAAAGAGCCCATCTAGTAAAAACAAGACCTCCGAGACATTGAGATTGAAGACTTAAGAAGGTAAGTTGAGAAGTTAACCCAATGCTTGGCGCGAAGCCCAGCCTCGACACACTATGATGATGGTAGTGAGTCGGAAGTTGCTTTCATGAACCCTATCTTTGTTAGCGCTCCGCGTTGGGAGCCTCATTTTTAGGAGAGTAGATCATGGGCTTTCAACAATAAAGTTGATCTACGTAAGTTTGAAGGAGAATAACGAGGATCCAATATTCAATTGGATTCAATATTCTTTGAACTAGTCGATGGTCTTATCATTGATAGTGCAACTATCTTTGATACTGATGTTATTTTAGATAAAGAACAAGGTGTTCCTACCAGTGTTCCAAAAGAGGTCCGGTGGTGCCTAAGCGCCTGGCGGGGTCTAGGCCGCCCAGCGCCTAGGCAGGCGGGGACCTAGGTTCAAAGAGGGGCAAGGGGTGTTCAGTAATCCTGTTTTAGGACCAAATTTTGCATAAAAAATGCACATTCATGCAGAATTTATAATCTGAACAAAAAAAACCAAAAATACCCCACTCAGTGGGTAGTTTTGCACCTAGGCGGGTGCAGTCCCCTAGACGCCTGCTCAGGTACTTTGGGCAGCCGCCTAGACGGGTGCCTATGGTCCCTAAGCAAGTGCCCAAGGACAACCCGTCTAGTTGGTCCGCCAAAGCCAAGCTATGGGCCTAGGGCAGCCTAGGTTGCTGCCTAGGCACTGGGCAGACCGCTTTTCGAATCAATGATTCCTATCTTTGATGGTGATCCTATCTATGACAAAATAGTTGTTACACCACAAGGATTTCGTTCCTCTATTGACCTGCCAGATGGCCTATCCTGTGGTTATGTAATAGAGGTGTTTGGTACCTATTTTCAACTACCTGAACTTGGGCCAGTAGAGGCAAATGGTTTTGCTGCCTCAAGAAATGTTTTGGTTGGGGCAAATGGTCTTGCTGCCTCAAGAGATATTTTGGTTCCAATACCTTTCTTTGAAGGAGAACATCGACTAGGTTACACCCCAGTGCAAAAGTTTGGGGTGAACTGTTTACAAAGCAAGATTATTCTCTCTTCAATGTGGTTGCTTAGCATGGGAACTACGTACCTTACAAGTATGATCTGAGTAAGTTCTGCCCAGTCAACATTGTTTTGTTGGATCGTGGTGATCCTTCAGTGAACATAATACTAACACCACCACCTGAGAAGCTTGGCATGGCCTTAGTTGATTTGTGATTTCCCCTCCTTGTTTGTTGGTGGCTAAGCCTCCCTTTCGCCATCCTTATTATCACCGCAATTATATGGGTAAATTTATGGCCTAATTTATGATGGATATGAGGCCAAGGCTTCTTCATGGAGGTGTAAGCTTGCGTAATTGAATGACTTCTCATTGGCCTCATATCAAAACCTTCAATAATTGGTTTGAGGATATTTTAATTAGACCTATAACCCAGGGCCTCAGGTTCAAGCCCCAGTATCAATGCGCAATATTCGGGTAGCGAGAAGGCTTGTGTTTTGATGAGGATTCATATTAACTCATTTCAAAACTCGAAGACAAGTTTTCTCCAACCAAGGGAGTATGATGCAAATCAAGATCTAGTTGATTCAGAATTTTAATATTATTTTTTTAGGGATGTGGGTGTACTTGTTATTTGTTATTGGGTTTACATTTTATTTTTTGGAAACGTTGTCATTTGTTTTTTAGGGAATCTTTTATTTTTCTTTGAAAGCTAGAAAATCTTTAGTTATCTTTAGAAAGTAAGGAAAGATAGGATGAGATTAATGTGAGTCGGAGTTTGTTTATTTTTAAGGATAAGTTTTTTTTTTAACGAGTTGTTTCCTTACATTTGGATAAAGGATGTGAGATGAGTTATCTTTAGAAAGGAAAGAAAGGTAATATTAAAGGAGGGTGGGACGGCAATGTAAGCATGAACCGTTTTGGTAAATGCAAAAAACCAGTTTAACGTGTAGAGAAAGAGAGAGAGAGAGAGAGAGTGATTGAGAAAGAGAGATTCTTCTCTTAATTATCTCTTGGTTGCGGTGTGTGGTGGAGGCTTCAGATCCCCACGTTTATGCCGTTTGACTTCTTCTCAGTAGACACTGCTCTCTCTAGAAATGCAGTTGTACTGCTGGTTATTGGCTACCGATAATTTCAGCTGTGTCAAATATACCTCAAATAAATATGCCACGAACCCCGGGCGATGCTCTTATATCCTCCCTAGGGGGTATCCACCATCCATTTAGCGATGGATGGAGGATATCTGATAGACTGGCACAGCCTGGCCATGCAATGTATGAACCGACCATACTAGTTTGTCTAATGTCTACCATCAATCAATGAAAATATAGTGGATGGCCATGCAATGTATGAACCGACCATACCAATCTGTCTAATGTCCACCATCAATCAATGAAAATATAATGGATGGCCTAAAGCCTAGGGAGGATATGAACAGTATCCTCACTACAGGGCATGCTAGGAATCCCACACACTTCAAGCAACCTTTATAGTCAGAGGTGAGACTACTAATACATATCAGTGGTATAAGGACCAGGTTGAAGCAATCAAGAAGTGGGTTCAGTAAGAACCAATCTTGATGCAAACAAGGTTTTTATGATTTTTGTTTTTTGCTTCATTATTGTTTTAAGAGATTAAAATTTGGGTTTGGGAAAATGATGTAATAGGTTTTTTAATTATTTATTTTACGATTTCCTAGACTTTTAGATTTGGGGTTATATTAGGTTTTTAATCTTCTTTAGGAAGTGTTCATGTCTTTTTCTTGGTTGTAGAGATTTGAGGGGAAAGGCAAAATTGGAGGAATTTATATTTATTCGGATTTCTTAGGGAGCAAGTTAGGTTTTAGGTTTCTTTCTTCTATAAATGTGTAACTGTTAGTTTAGAAAAAAAGAGAGAAGATAAAAGAGTTTGTTTTTGGATGTTGTGAAGAGATCTTTAAAGTGGACTCCCTTGCAAACCTTAGGAAAGGGTACATTCTATCAACCATTTAATTTAATTTTTATTTTTCTGATTTATTATTTTTTCTCCCTACATTAATTGGTATCAGAGCTTCTTTCCCTGCATCAAACACCTTTGCCAAGTTTGGACAAACCAATAGATCAAATAATCGCAAAAGTGAAAAGAGAAAAAATAGACCAGTTGGACAAACCTCTGTAGCTTAATCACAATGAATAGGTCAGTTTAGTGGCTAAGGAAATAACAGTCCATGCAAACAAGGTCTTTTGTTATTTATTTTCAGACAATTTTGGATGGATCCCATTTCTCTATATCTTTTAGTTACTCTGAAATTCATTTTTAACCCCTCCTCCAAAACTGGATTGCTAATTTTTTATGTGGACAACAGGGAAAAACAAAGAAAAAAAAATGTGTGCATGCATGCATGTATGCATTCCCTTAAGTAATCTTGATTTTCCAACATGGATTACTGAAATCAACGTCCGCATCCTAAAGATCACATTTGTGGGTGATCAGAGCCTCAAAATTGAGTCATGCACTCAAGATTGCAAAGGTTTGTTGTATTCTATTATGGAACTTGTACAATTGGGATAGCAAAATTTTAGGTTGAAGGGTTCTAATTTGAGTTCCCATGATAA